CTTATACATTTACAGTGTTGAAAAAAATGTGCAAATCTCATGCAAAATTAATGAAAAAAAAATTATAATATAAACCAGTGACCAAGTGAAAAAAAAACAGCAGGTATAATCAATATAGCGCAAGGGGCGTTACTAGAGGGACGTTACGCCATGATAGGGGCGGGGGGACATGAGTGTCAACAAACTGATGCGCAGAACAACGATTGAAATATTTTCATTGATTGAAATCATCGCTCGGCATTAGATGAGGTGTAATCAGTCTCATATTATTGTTATAAGTCATCATAGTATAGCATGTTTTAAATGCTATGCATTTCGAATCTGAAGTTTGTTCAATTTCTTCTTAGTCTTTGCCAATGTTAGGACAGCGACAGCTAACATTATTGTAGAACATTCCTATCATATTCAGACTACAAATCGTAGTCAAAAACGTTACTGCTTTAACTCCTCAAAGCATCTTTAACAAATTGTATGGCATGATGTTGTCACAAATAAACATTCATTAAACATATATTAAATGTAAATAATTTAATCATATTTTGTTCATGTTTGAACACATTTGTGTTTTCCTAAATCACTTTGCACGTTATCAAAATTAAGGTGAGTCAGCAGATGTATTTTTTCCCCCAACCATCTTGCACCACCTGCTCCATCATGATTCCAGCATGATCGTGTTTTCTCAGCTCTCTCAGCTTATTCGTTTCTATGGTCAAGAACGCTTGATATACGAACATATATTTGTGTGTTTCTGCATGTTGGGGCGCATGCAGTTTTGCCGCACTTCCTGACCCATGTCAGTTGTTTAAGACTTTAGTACTAGTAGTCACTTAACCATTGATATATAGTAACACTGAACAGTAAGAACGAAAAAAGAGTGCTTACCTGTTCCTGTCAGTGAGAGGAATATTGTTACTGCACTACTGTGGTGGTGTGTAAAGGGTCCATGTGCTGCTTCCACTGTCTCGAACACTGAGCTCCTCTATGGTGGGAGGTTACAGCTGTTGAGTAAGTTGAGGATTGGTTTACATTCAATATTGAATGAAAGGCTACACCAGCAACCCCCCTTTTCCCTTGAGCTGGAATGTCAAAGGAACATGCGGTCTGTTCTCCCCCACCGTAGTGTAAAGTGGAGCTGCAGGAGTGACTGTACTGAATGTTTTAAACGGACTGGTGCATTAGGTAAAGTTTGTTACATAACAGTCAGCAAGATCATATCATTATTAAAGTACATTTATGTAATTCAGGGGTCTTCAATCTTCAAGTCGAGAAACCCTTGGTGGATAAAAAGATGGAGCACGATCCATTACATATTTATTTTATCAAATGCCTGAAATATCATCCATATCATACCATATTAATATAATTAGAGTGATTCTTGTTTCTTTACATTGTTCTTGAAATAACTATTAATTATGTACAGTCATATATCTCTGCATTACATTTTAATTTGACTTAATATGTTTAAATGTTGAAGGCAGAATTAAACAGTAAGCTATACTTTTGCTTTGTGTTTACTTTAACTTTGATTTAACTTATCATAATCTTGTATTTTGTTTAATATATATATATATATATATATATATATGCAAATTTATTATTTAGGATAAATCCCTTTAGATGCATCATCTCGTTTTCAAGGGGGTCCTAATACACAAAAATTAGATAACATAACACAAAACAAACAACAACAACCACATAATTCAGAACAACAAATCAACAAACACCCATTACAATATTAACACATTAAATATTAATAGCTACCTAGCACTTATACAGATATAAACATAGATATATAATCTAAAGCGATTACAAGTTTAAAACAAGAAAAAATTGTTTTAAACATAAGAAGAATATAATATCAAATACTGACACAAATAATTAGGATAATTAAAAACATTTGAAAATAAATTGCAACCAGTGAATATGCCTTCTAATATTGAGTGGATACCATTTAAGTAAATCATACATAATACAATGGAAATAGAAAGGGAATCATGAGCTATTGTATTTTCATCTCATTTGCTTAATAATGGATTTATCTGAGCTGTTTAATAAAACTTAAAATTGTTTTGGATTTTTAAATTTATTAGATAAACAGTCTTTATAAAAAGTAGTGTTAGCATTACAAGTCATAGTCTTTGATACATTTCTTAAACTCCTATAAGTTTCCCAATCTTCATTTGTCTTTCGGAATTTAGCCCAGGCCTTGTCTGTCTGTCTAAAAAGACCTATAAGTTCCGCATTTATCCAGGGTAAATGTTTTCCCTTGACCGTTGAAATTTTCCAAGGAGCATGTTTATCAAGTACTCAAGTAAACTCACAATATAAAAAATACCAAGCGTCCTGCACATTGGGTATTAACTGATATCTATCCCAATTTATGGAAACTAAATCATTAATAAATAACTCTAAATGCATCTTCTTATGTTGTCTAATTTTTATTACTCTAGGAGGCGATTTAAGAATTTTAATTTTCCATATACAAAAAACAAATGAGTGATCACCTAAACAATCAGACAGGATACCTGCTTTAACAAATTTATCAGGAACCAGAATCCAGTCAATTAGGGATTGACTCATTTAAGTAACTCTAGTAGGTTCTTTAAATAATTATGTTAAATAAAAATTTTCAAAATTATCTAGCCAACTTTTTATTAAAGTCCCCTAGAATAATCATTTCTTTTTCAAATAAAATGGAGTCAATAGTAGAAAACAAACAATTGAATGATTCAGCATGTGCAGAAGGAGGTCTATATATACTTCCAATAGTTAAATATTTATTCTGATTTAAAGTTACTTTAACAAACAGACATTCAAAATATCTAGGTTCGACTGAGGGTATAATTAACTCTGATATCAAATTAGAAGAGACATGTGTCTCCACACCACCACCCCTGGAATTTCTGTCTGCTCTGTACATAATTTGCAAGTTTAATTTCCCTATCAGAAATCTTACTACTCAGCCACGTCTTTGACACTGTAATAATATTCGGATTATATTGGGCTACCCAAGCACGTAGTAGATCCATTTTTGGCAAAATACTTCTTATGTTCAAATTAACGATTTTGAAACCTTTAGTATTATCCACTTTATATGCAAATAAATCATAGATATAAATTTAAAGCTAGGTAGTAACTGAAGGGTTAAACAAACTCAAACAAATAAAAAAATACAGTAAAGATATGTTAAATTGTATTGGCATAACAATAAAACAAATCCTCAGATATACAAACAAAACAAAGCCCCAAAAAACACATAGGCCTACCAAAAACATTAAAAACAATAAATCTGGCCCAGCAGCCCTAGCCATCCTAAGCCAAGGCATGTTCATGAATGGGTTAAATTAGGTCAAAATAAACAAAAACCATTAACATTAAGTACACAGGTCCTTCTGTATCAATCATTCTTTTTCTTCCCCTTTAGACTACTTTTATAATGGAAGTCCAATTTAATGCATTTTTTTTTCACAGAACTTATGAGTTTGATATCAATTGGCCCCCTGCTATATTCATTTTTATTCATATTTTGTTGATTTGAATTAATATTTTGTTTTTATTTTTCTGTTTTAACTTTATTTTTAAAGTTTTAGTAATGTTGTTGTGTTTTGTCATTTTTAAATGTATCTGTATATTTTCGATTTCAGTTTTAGTTTTAGCAGGGCTGTACAGTGCGACATATCGCACGTGCTACGAAAAAACTGGTCTGTGCAATGAATAAATTTACCACTGTAGCACGCTGCAATACAGTTTTGCATGTGCATAACACAGCCGCTTAATAGTGTGAAGTGATTCGTTGTGCTTGTTTGTGTGTGTGAGATTGATTATACTTGATAGTTTGGGGTGTGCGATATGACGATTTTTGATCGTGGACTATTAAAATGTCTCCACGATCTGCTTTTGAAGAAATATCGTTGTATCGTGCTACAGTTCACATTCTATCAGCTGCAGTTCTGGCGCCTCCCTCCGTCTCAATATAATGTACAAAGCCACATGCATTCACAGTAGAGTTACTCTCACGGGACACTGCACAATCACAAAACTACATTATTTCTATCTGCTTTAAAGCAATACCGGTTAAACATTTAATTCACGTGCTGTTCTGCATGATGAACTTATCATCAGTCAGTTGCTTTAAAAAAAGTATAATTGATGTATATAGTGTATCTAGTGTTTTATTTTAATATTTGTTCATTCAATTTCTTGAATGATACTGCTAAATACTGTACCTGAAAAATACAGCACTGTTTGTTTTATTTGTATATTATGTGTATCTGTAATGTATATCTTTGTTCTTATTTTCTAATAACAAAGATCAAATAATGACAAAGATTTTTATCTTTGCTCACTTTGGCCTAAATGTCTGCCATTCTTTTTTTATTTTATACTTTGTTAAGGTGTAAGAGGTGTTATGTTTCTGCACTCTTCCATTTTTAGCAAATTAAGAAAACTTTGTCTAAAAACAATTTTTGTGATGGTTTGTATTTTTTGTGCTCTGTATGGAACATCAGTGCCTGTTTAAGTGATGAACTCCATTACTTGTGTTTGTTTTCAGAATTGATAACAGACGTTTTATACTTGTGCTACAACTTTTTGGCCTGTGCTACAAAACTTTCAACCTCTGTAGCACCAGTGCTATGTGAAAAAAAAGTTAACGTACAGCCCTGGTTTTAGTCATATTAGATATTAGTACATCAAGTTAAACTAAATGAAAATGAGAAATTAGTTGAAATAAGTTTCAGTTTTTAATATTTTATTTCAATTATCATTTGTTTTATTTCAAGTAACGAAATGATTTTTTTTTTTGGAAATAGTTTTAATTTCAGTTAACTATAATAACCCTTATGTAGACCCCTGTTGAAGATATTTGATTGGCCTAAAATATTAATCATGCTGTTTTTCTAGTTATTTTTTTCCTCTTGTCTGAGTATGTTATGTAGCAATCAGAGTATTAGTAATACTGTGTCAAATAAATCATAATTTAAATGTCTTCTTTTTTAGATATAGCATTTAAAAATGGCACAGTTTGGATTCTGTTTACTGCTTCTGTTCTCTGGACTGATTCATCACATCAAAAGCCATATTAAAAAGGAAGACAAAACTGGGGTAACGGAACGACCCAATTTCATCATTATCCTAGCCGATGATATTGGATTGGGTGACCTCTGTGTGTACAGGCCTGACAACTCCACACCAACACCCTGGCTGGACTCATTAATGCTGAAGGGCAAAAGGTAGTTTTTTACTATCATTAGCCTATAGTTTGTCCATGCATGACACAATTTTGTGCTTGATTATGTATAATTATAGGTGCTTGTGTCTGGTAAGATTACTTGACCTTAGTTCTGCATTTGACTCAGTTGATCATGCTACCCTTCTTAATCATCTAAGGGATGAAGTTGGTATCGGGGCATGGCATTGGATTGGTTCTTTTCATACCTTTAGGATAGATCAGTAAAGGTTACGATTGGAAATTCGTCCTCCCCCTCTGCACCACTCACACGTGGGGTACCTCAGGGGTCCCTTTTGGGACCTATTTTATTTTGATCGTATATGCTATTGGGTTCTATCATGAGGAAATATAATATTTCGTATCACTGTTATGATGACAATGCACAGATTTACATCCCTCTTAGCTCTGATAACTCTTATTCTGACCTTTTCAAATGTTTCGAAGATATCAAATGCTGGACTGCAAGAAACCTTCTCCAATTAAATGAAAGCAAAACTGAGATTGTTGTTTTTGGACCTCCTGTTGCTGTCTCTGATATCACTAGTAATCTAGATTTTTTTTGTCATCAAATATTCATCCTTTTGCTAAAACCTTAGGTGTGATTTTTGACACAGATCTGAACTTAAGGATTTGGAGACAGTTATCCATGCATTTATCTCTTCTAGACTAGATTATTGCAATCCACTTTATATGCGTCTCAACCATTCATCATTGTATCGCTTGCAGTTGTTTCAGAATACAGCCGCAAGGATACTGACTGGCACTAGGAGAAAGGAAAGCATTTCCCCGGTCCTAGCATCTCTTCACTGGTTACTGGTGCAGTATAGGATCCATTTTAAGATTTTATTATTTGTTTTTAAAGCGTTAAATGCGTTAATATCACTGTCATATCTGTCTGAACTTCTCAGCTAGCAACAACTGTCTCTGATATCACTAGTAATCTAGATTTTTTTTGTCATCAAATATTCATCCTTTTGCTAAAACCTTAGGTGTGATTTTTGACACAGATCTGAACTTAAGGATTTGGAGACAGTTATCCATGCATTTATCTCTTCTAGACTAGATTATTGCAATCCACTTTATATGCGTCTCAACCATTCATCATTGTATCGCTTGCAGTTGTTTCAGAATACAGCCGCAAGGATACTGACTGGCACTAGGAGAAAGGAAAGCATTTCCCCGGTCCTAGCATCTCTTCACTGGTTACTGGTGCAGTATAGGATCCATTTTAAGATTTTATTATTTGTTTTTAAAGCGTTAAATGCGTTAATATCACTGTCATATCTGTCTGAACTTCTCAGCTACCAACAATCTTCTCGAACTCTCAGATCCTCTGATAAACTCCTCCTACATATACCTCGCTCTCGCTTGAAGTTTAAGGGGGAACGTACTTCAATATACTAGACACTAGTTGTTTTTAAATGTGCTATATAAAAAAATTAACCTTGACCTTGGTGATTTGCAGATTCACAGACTTCCACTCTCCTGCCTCCACATGCTCACCATCACGTGCTGCCCTCCTGACTGGCAGACATGGGCTACGCAATGGAGTCAATTTTGCAGTGGGGTCAGTCGGAGGACTGCCACTCAATGAGACAACGTTTGCTCAGCTCCTGCATGATGCAGGTTATTACACAGCCATTATCGGTAAGCCCAGAAACTCGAAGAACATGCAGAGAACAATTAACATCCTGAGAGCAATTAACTCTACACTGTGATGTGATTGGCTCCTGATTAACAAATAGGTATTGTCGCTATGGCAACTAATAAGCCTACAGCGCTCCACTAATTATACGTCATAATATTTCAATTCCAGTTATTTATTGCACTTAAATTGATTTTAAAACAGGAAAATGGCACCTTGGACACAATGGTTCCTACAATCCTGTTCATAGAGGTCAAATCCAGCAACTGGATTTACAATTTACAAATAAATTAATTTTTATTTGTAGATTTTACGTTCATTTTAATTTTAGTTACATTTTTAGTAATTGTGTGTCATGTGTTTTTGACATTATTCTTATTTAAAATATTTCTATATAGTTTTTATTCATTTTTATTTCAGTTTTAGTTTCAGCTATTTTAGTACATCAAGTTAAACTTAATGAAAAAGAGAAATGCTTTCCTTGACAGCATAAGGTTTTTATAGTTTTTTTATACATTTTTATACATTTATTATATTTCAAGTGATGAAAATGTTACTTAAGACAGTGAAATACAAATTTAAATAAATTATATTACTTCATTAAAATGTATTTGTTTATTTATTTAATAAAAGTTTTCTTGACATGGAGTTCATTTATTCCACATTAAATTACATTTTGATATATAAATTGTAATTATTGTCTAACATTATACATTTATTTTAAGCTATTTCATTAGGAAATGCTCACTTTTGTGTGTTTACACTACAGGTTTTGACTATTACTTTGGTATTCCTTATAGTAACGACATGGGCTGCACTGACAAACCAGGTCTCGACCTTCCCAGCTGTCCTCCTTGTGTCCGCAGTCAATATACTACAAGGTTTGTGTTGCTATCCAGGTCATCATCCAAGTCAAAACACACATCAGATGCCTTATAGCCTGAGGTTTTGTATACGTCTCATATGTTTACTGAAATATGTCAAATCTTCACTCAACAGGAAGCATGAAGAATGCTACACTGAAGTGGCATTACCTCTGTTTGAAAATGAGACAATAATTGAACAGCCCTTGGACACATGGAGCCTTAAAAACAGATATGCCTCAGCGGCAGTCAAGCAGATATTCACAGCCAGGTGCGTTCACCACTTCTATGATTATATACATATATTCTATCTGATTTCAATACCGACCTGAGCTTATTTTCATAATAGTCTGCCTTCTGGCAAATTGTGTGTATGAGTATTTCTAATAACGCACTTTCTGTTGCAAGTTTATTTTGTTGTTGTTGTTCAAAATTGTGTACTATTCATTTTATTATTACTGTTATTAAACCTCTTGAACTTCCTGGTAAAACATGTGAAATCAAAAGGTCTTAAACAGGTTTTAGGCTCAGTATTACGTGTGAAGCCAAAAACATTCTTGATTAAAAATGGATTATAAAAACAATTTTGCGACTCGCAGGGGACTTTGTTCAGTCAATATAAGGTCTCTAGTCTGTAAACAAGTTTACTGGGCAGGCGAAGTTGCAGTGTTGACCTTTGACACAGTCCAAGGATAGATCATCATCTGTTGGGCTGTGTGCAACCAAGTCTCATCTATTTGTCATTTCAGCTGTGTACTCGTACAGACAATTGAGACCTGTTACTGTTTCAAAGCTAGTATCACTGCAGTCCTCGCGTAAATCTCTTTAAATCAATAGATAATATACTGACATTAAAATGGAATAAATTATTTTCATGTTAGGGCCAGTAATCGATAAATAGCAGATACTAATGTTATTTTGTATATTATATACTATTATATAATGTATACTATTTTGTCTAAGAAACATTTTAAAAATAAAACACTGAAAAATGCAAACTTTTGTTTTAAATTCTACAAGTGAATTTAGGCCTAACCAAATAAGGGCATGGGAAGGCACATGGGGAGCAGGACACACACAAAACATGGAACAGAGTCTGACAGGCATCACAATATTATAATACTGTATGAAATAAGGATATTCATTTTGTTATTAAATGATTAGTGTTTTTAAAGGGGTCATATGATGCTGCTAAAAATAACATTATTTTGTGTATTTGGTGTAATGAAATGTGTTTACCAAACAAAGTAGTTTCGCTTTCACAACGAAGCACACAGCGTCTTCACGAAATGGCGGCAGCGGCAACAATACTACAGCAAGAATAAAAGTTACGCCTTCTTTCTTTGCATGAACATTTGTGCCGCGTTATGCAAATCTTTCCACATAGTGAGGTAGACATGTGGGGACGTGTTAGAACGAGCCGTTTTAGGTAGGTGTGGCTGACTCTTAACTTTTATAAAGAATATCTCTTTGGATTTGAGACTTTAGTCTTTGCAACTTTACAGATCTTCTTTATGCACCAAGAGCTTGTAACACTCCAAAGAGAAAGGAAAAATTGAAATCGCATCATATGACCCCTTTAAAGTTTAACAGTTTGTGGGCATTAGATGACGACAGAGGTAATCTAACTGTAAACAGAGTAAATGAGCATGTACAATTAAATTTATATTATCAACTGATACCAATACACTACCGTTCAAAAGTTTTGGGTCAGTTTTTTTTTTTTTTAAAGGGAATTAATACTTTTATTCAACAAGGAATTAAATTCATCACAAGTGACAGTAAAGACAATTATATGTTAGATTTCTATTTAAAGTAAATGTTTTTTAACTTTCTTTTCATCAAAGACTCCTGAAAAAATGTATCACGGTTTCCACAAAAATATCAGAATGATTTTTGAAGGATCAGGGGCCTCATTTATAACCGTTGCGTACGCACAAAACCTGCCCTGAAAGAGGCGTACGCCACTTCCTACGCAAAAGGTGGGATTTATAAAAACAAACTTGACTGGAAAATTTGTACACCTTGCACGCAAACTCTGACCCATGCGTACGGACTTCTTTTTTTCCTGGAGAGAGAAAAGTAATGAAGTAAACAATGATTTTAAACTCTGTTTTCATGTCGATATACACATTTAAAATTAAAATTAAATATTCCACTCTCATTAATGTAGAAATTACATAACTGAAATTACATAAAGTCATTACACAGAAGTTAAACCAAAATTATATGAATTTAGACATAGCCTATTGGATGCGCTTGATCACTTTTCTTGTGGCATGCTATGTTTTGATGCCAGCGAGGAGTGCTATGCGCACAATAATTCATCTTTAAATTAAACTGCAGATCACATGCTATGAGAAAATATTTTTTGTGAGAACAATGATCAATGATGCACACTTACTTCGATATTATGGCGGACACTGCTGGATTCAGTGGTCGAACGGTCCATTGTCCGGTTTGAATAGGTCCAGTGATAATAGCTTACTGTACAACCGCAGCTGCACAGAGGTGTTGATGTCGTGTGAAGGCATCTCCACAACATTATGAAAAATACCACTGTATTTGAAGGATACAACTTGAAGAAAACGGTAAGATTTGCACATTTCCTTTTTAAAATACTTTGTCAATGACACGCGAGTCAGACAATTGTATTTACACTGCAGTAAATATGCCTATCTATTTCCACTAAAATAGCTAAAAGATGTTCACCTTATCAGCAAAACTGCATAAATTTCATTTTATTTAGATTGTTTAAAACAATTTAAATACTACCTATTTGGCCAAAGAGATATTCTTTATAAAAGTTAAGGTAGGCATAGGTAAGTTTTAGGTAGGCGTCAGCCACGCCTACCTAAAATGGCTCGTTCTAACACGCCCCCACATGTCTACGTCGCTATGTGGGAAGATTTGCATAACGCCACCCAAATGTTCACGCAAAGAAAGAAGTCGTAACTTTTAGTCTCACTATAGTTTTGTTGATGCTGCAGCCATGTCGTGAAGACGCTGTGTGCTTCGTTGTGAAAGCGAAACTACTTTGTTTGGTCTTCCAAAAGAGGACGATATCTGCTTCGTCATGCCTGGAGCTGATCCGTGCTGGTTGCTGAGGAAATACATCAACTTTGCGCTGTCGATCGCC